GGAGGTCAATGGCTCGATCTCGGCTGACCGCAACCTCCACCTCCCGCTTCAAAGCAATTCTCTGCCTCAGTCTGCCAAGTAGCTGGGACTACAGGTGCACACCACCACACCTGGCTAATTTTTTTGTATTTTAGTAGAGGTGAGGTTTCACTGTGTTGCCCAGGCTGGTCTCAAACTCCTTAGCTCAGGCAATCCGCACATCTGGACCTTCCAAAGAGCTAGGATTACAGGCGCGAGCCACCGCGCCCAGCCTAATCCGTATATTTTCTAAATGAGGAATGCTGCTTTTACTTAAACCAGTCTGGCCTGCTTTCTGATAATATCAGGAGACTCAAAGACAGGGCCCAAAAACGTGCTAACCCGGCAAATAACGTGCTAACCCATGCCAAATCCACTTGGCCATTTTCTAGCTGGATGTCTAGCTGGATGGCTCTTTCCAGTCCCTACTCCCCCAATACCCACCCTCCTTCTCCTCTTACTGGGACCTTGCATTTTCTGATTAGTCTCTCAATTCCTACAAAACCATATCCAGGCCATCACTAATCACTCTATATGGCAAATGCTACTTTTAACCACCCCACAATATCACACCCTGTCCCAGAACCTCTCAGCCGCTTAAGACAGGACACCTTGCCAACCCTCCCTAGTCATCTGCCTGTCTTGTCCACAGTCCTATTTCATGGGCTTCACCCTTCTCGGGTCAACCAGAAACACCACCCATCGCTCATGAATTCCAGGCAATGCTTCGCTAATGTCAAGATGGCGCGACCCCTCTCCAAAATCTGCACATACTCCTTTCATCCAAGTCTTCTGGGACCACCCCCCTCCTACATTGGCCGAAGGCACCTTAAAGCTATTATGCCTACAGGCTATTTTTAGAGAATTCATCCTATTAGGACAATTTCAGGCTCAAAAATATGCTAATGGCACTTTGCTAAATACATAAAAAGGCACCTAAGCCAAAGACTTGACTAAACACTTAACAAAACTACAAAAATCACAGACTTTTCTCTCAGATGTCCCCGCAGCCCCCGGCACGCTTGAAGAGGCCTCGAGAAACACTGCCCCTTCTCCCTTCTCTAACTTTTTTCTTTATACATCCGTAAGAAGATGGGAATGTCAGGCCTCCAAGTCCAAGCCTGGCCATTGTAGCCTTGGTGACCCGCACATACACCTCTGGACGGTCTCCAGGAGCCACAGTCTGAAGTCACCGGGTGGCCACAAAGAGAAGTGAAAGAACTAGTTCCTGCTTCAACTGCTCTCAACCTGCAAAGTTCAACCCTTGTTCCTGCTCGCTTTTCGAAAATGCCACCCCCAGACATTAGGTTTCTCAAGACTCCCACCCCTGTAACTATGTAATTTACCACACCCACCTCTCTGCTTGCAACCCATAACCCCCACCCTTATGATCATGCCTGTTTGTAATAGATGACCCCTAGGCTTGGGACCATGCATCCCGTGACGCCCTTCCCCTCCCTAAAATAAATTACCACCTTTAACTGACCATTTGCCCCAAACTATATAACCAGTCCCCTAGGCCAGGCGTGGTGGCGCTTGCCTGTAATCCCAGCACTTTGGGAGGCTGAGGCGGGTGGATCATGAGCAAGGCCAGCCTGACCAACATGGTGAAACCCCATCTCTACTAAAAATACGAAAAACAGCTGGGCGTAGTTGGGGGGTGCCTGTAATCTCAACTACTCAGGAGGCTGAGGAGGAGAATGGCTTGAACCTGGGAGGTGATGGCTGCAGTGAGCAGAGATGGCGCCACTGCACTCTAGACTGGGCCAGAGAGCAAGACTCCTTCTCAAAACAAAAAAACAGTCCCCTTTCCTACTCCCCTGGCCTAACTTCTTTCTCAGACTTGGCCTGCATGCACCCAAGCGCGAAATAAAACGTCCTCATTGCCCACACAAAGCCTGCCTAGTGGTCTCTTTACGGGAGCAACGCGCTTAACCAAAACTACGCGATAGGAAGTGTACGCATCGCCCTATGGCAGAAAGACCCGGGACGGGACCAGCCTTGGGGACACTTTCCACCTAAAAGGAAGTGACCCCCGGAATCTCACGGGGACGTCTCAATTTGCACTGAGTGAAGAAAGATGATCGAGAACTTCCAGGTCTGTGGGGACCCCACGTCCCAGGTACTGAAGCGCCGGGGGCCTGGGAATCGCAGACTTCATACCAGACAGAGCAAACTCACGCGCAGCGGTCTGCTCTTCACTCCATGCGATCCGCTTCTGGTTTTGCGGGAATCTGCGCGCGCAAGACAGAAGCCAAGCCTGGGCGGGACCCGCAAAAAGGTGGGCGGGGCCTGGGAGAGGTAGGGGCGGGGCGCAAGGCGGAGAGACCTTGCCCTTTTGAACTGGCAGAGGGCGGGGCGGGACCCCCTCTAACAGCCCGGCTGTAAGACTGGCTCCCTGCGCCTGTTTTTCGGGGTTTGAAGGCGAGACTGGCCAGGAAGGCTGAGGCAAGTGTCAAAAGCCCTGGAATTGTCTGGAACGGGGATGCAAAGTAGAATGTGAAATGCAAAACCCTGCCTGGGCTATGTTTTCATGCTGATGACTCACAGAACAGAATAGAAATTTTCTCCCTTTCTATTCTTCATTTACACAGGAGGGAGAGTCCACCCTGTGCTCAGATTCAGAGACTTCCCTAGGGCCACCGCCTGGGATGCGGGACGGAGTGCCAGGGAGGTCTGAGTTCACCGCCTGATGCTTAAACGCAGCAGGGATGCAAGCGCAGGGGCGGGAGTCTGAGGTCCCAGCTGCTCAGGAAGCAGCTGCAGGAGGATCGCTGAGCCTGAAGGTCCAGGTCAGCCTGGGAGACAAAGTAGCTCCCCCTCCTGCAGGGCTCCCCTTCCTGCTAGCGCTCTCTCCCTCTCTCTCTCACACTTTTAATATGAATTTTCACTTCGAGGCTGAAGTGCAGTGGCCCGATCTCTTCGGATCACTGCAACCACCGCCTGCCAGGAGCAAGTGTTTCTCCTGAGTCAGCTCCTACGAGTAGCTGGGATTACAGGCTCCCGCCACAACACCCGGCTAATTTTTTTTTTTTGAGACTGAGTTTCGCTCTCGTGACCCAGGCTGGAGTGCAATGGTGCGATCTCGGCTCACTGCAACCTCCACCTCCTAGGTTCAGGCAATTCTCCTGCCTCAGCCTCCCGAGTAGCTGGGATTACAGGCACGCACCACCATGCCCAGCTAATTTTTTGTATTTTTAGTACAGACAGGGTTTCACCATGTTGACCAGGATGGTCTCGATCTCTTGACCTCGTGATCCACCCGCCTCAGCCTCCCGAAGTGCTGGGATTACAGGCTTGAGCCACCGCGCCCGGCCCCCACTTTCACTCTTAATCTTTTTCTCATTCCTTTGTGGACACCAAACTCGGGGTACCCACAGGTGGTGCATGGGGACTGGCTCCCTACAACTAATCATATCCAATGAACTCACCCACTCATGACAATCCAAAGTCACCCGCCCCCCCCGCCTTTTTTTCTTTTGAGACAGGGTCTTGCTGTGTTGACCAGGCTGGAGTGCAGTGGCATGATCTTGGCTCACTGCAGCCTGGACCTCCTGGGCTCAAGTGATTCTCCTGCCTCGGCCTCCAGAGTAGCTGGGATTACAGGTGTGCACCATCATGCCGGTTTTTTTGTTTTGTTTTGGCAGAGATGGGGTCTCACTTTGTTTCCCAGGACGGTCTCAAACTCCTGAACTCAAGCAATCCCCTTGCCTCGGTCTGTCTGAGCACATATCTCTCATTCTCCCTTTTTCTCTGTAGCTCTAATTGTTTTCTTTTTCCCTGGGATTCTGCTCCTTACTTTGTACCCCCCCTTCTGCCCTCTATTCCTTCTCTTCCACCTCTTCTGCTCCATCCTCCCAGATTATTTAACCTCTTGTTGCTCCTTCTCCCCAGTCGTCCTCAATCTCTATATATTTCTGCCTCTTCTCCCCTCTCTGTGCCTCCTCTGAGCTCCCTGTTAAATTCTCTCTTCACTGTTATACCCCATCCCCACTCTCTGGCACCCCACCTCCCCAGGTGTCCTCCCTGCTGTGGCTCCCTCTGTTCTCCACTCTGCTCTGTCTGCCCCAGCTCCAAATCCCTCGTTTCCCTCACTCTCATGAACCTCCCTCTTTGCTGTCCCATCCCTGCCTTGCTGTCCTTCATCTCTCTGTACATCTCGCTTTTCTCTACATTTCTCCAGTTGCTTTTCTTCTGCTTTCATATATATATACATATAATTTCACTTTTGCTGTCTTTTGGCAAATTCCTCACCCATCCTCTACTTTGATATGTGTCTTTGTCGTTCTTCTTTTCTCTGTCTTAGGTTTCTCTCTGTCTCCTGATCCCTCTGGCCCACATAATTACAGAAGATTTTGGAGTAAGATGCCTGCATCCAGAGAAGCGAATTTTCCAGGAGCTGGAGCTGGGCAGGCGAGAACACCACGAGTCACGGGACCGGCCCGGGGCACCTTCCCAACGTGGGCTCAAGGGAAGCGGTGACTGTGAGACGGGAGGCCTGGGGAGCAGCAGGGCCGGACACAAGGAGAGGTGTGGAGGCGATGGGGACTTAAGACGAGGGTGGGGTCTTCACGATCCCCGGACCATGCAGAAAACGCGGCTTCCCCGAACCTGGAGCTGAGGCGCTGAGCTCCGAGGGTTGGCGAGCTCAGGTGGGGAATCTACCTCTCGGATGAGAACTTAAAGCACCGGGAAGAGCTTTCAAAAAAGTGGGAAGGGTCAGAAAAAGGTTTTGATCAGGAAACCTACAGCATAGGACGTATAAACATTGCCCTACAGCAGAAAAACCGGAAACCGGACCAGCCTCAGGCGGACTTTCAACCCAAAAGAAAACGATCCCCGGACCCTCAGGAAGATGTCTCAATTGGCTGCGGGTGAAGGAAGATGGGCGAGTTTCCAGGTCTGTGGGGACCCCAAGTCCCGGGAACAGAAGCGCGGGGTACCTGAGAAGCAGATTTAGTACAAGACAGAGCAAAACTCACACGCCTCGGTGGGACTTTCACCCCCACGCGATCCGCTTCCGGGTTTGAGCGCGTTTGCGTGAATCTACGCGCGCAAGACAGAAGCCAGACCTGGGAGGGCCCCGCATGGTGGGCGGGACCTGGGGGAGGTTGGGGCGCTGGGCGAGGCAGAGAGACCTTGCCCTTTAGAATCGGGAGAGGCCTCGCTTCCAGTGTCTCTGTTTTTCGGGTTTTGGAGGCGACACCGGCCAGAAAGGCTGAGGCATGATTCGAAAGCCCTGGAGTTGTCTGGAACGGGGATGCAAACTAGAAGGTGAAATGTAAAGCCCTTGCCTGTGCCGAATGTAGGATTTCATGCTGACGCCCACAGAACAGAACAGAAATCCTCTCCCTTTGCATTCTCCATTTACTCGGGAGGGAGAGTCTACAGTGTGCTCAGCCTCAAAGACTTTCCTAACGCCACCGCGTGGGAGGCGGGGCGGAGTGCTCAGGCTGGGGAGGAGTGAGGTCACCACTTGCTGCTTACACACTGCTGGGATGCGGGCGCAGGGGCGGCAGGCTGAGGTCCCAGCTACTCAAGAAGCAACGGAGGGAGGATGGCTGAGCCTGTGGGTCCAGGCCAGCCTGGGCGACACAGTAACACCCCTTCCCGCAGGGCTTCCTTCCTTTTTTAAAAAATCTTTTTAAAATATAATTTTTGATGATGTGGCTTAGGGATCCAACATTATTATTATTTTGAGATGGAGTTTTGCTGTTGTGACCCAGACTGGAGTGCAATGGCACAATCTCGGCTCACCGCAACTGCTGCCTTCTGGGTTCAAGCAATTCTCCTGCCGAAGCCTCCCGAGTAGCTGGGACTACAGGTGCGCACCACCATGCCCAGTTAATTTTTGTATTTTTAGTAGAGACAGGGTTTCACCTTGTTGACCAGGATGGTCTCAATTTCTTGACCTCGTGATCCACCGCTTCAGCCTCCCAAAGTGCTGGGATTATAGGCGTGAGCCACCGCGCCTGGCCAGGATCCAACATTATTCTTTTCCATGTGGATGTCCAGTTAGTTATCCCAGCACATTTTCGGAAGAGATCTATTACTTTTATTTTTTTTCTTTTTGAGACAGTATTCCTCTGTCGCCTAGGCTGGAGTGCAGTGGCGAGATCTCAGCTCACTGCAACCTTGGCCTCCTGGATTAAAGCGATTCGCTGCCTCAGCCTCCGGAGTAGCAGGCATTCAGGCTCGCACCACCATGCCCAACTAATTCTTGTATTTTTGGTAGACATAAAGTTTCACCATGTTGGCCAGGCTGATCTAGAACTCCTGACTGAGTAATCTGCCTGCCTCGGCCTCCCAAAGTCCTGGGATTACAGTCGTTAGCCATGGTGCCTGGTCCGGGAAATACTCTTTTTTTAAAAAACAATTAATTAATTAATTTTTAAGACGGGGTTTCACCATGTTGCTCAGGCTGGTCTTGAACCTTGGCCTTCAAAGTGCTTGGATTATAGGCGTGAGTCACCACGCCCGGCCCGGGAAATACTCTTTACTTCACTTTTTAAATGTTGCGAAAATACAATTGAAAACAAAATAATCTTCTTCCAAATGAGAAATCATCTCCACGATGACAATAGAGAAAGAAATAAAAGCCATTTTAAATAAATAAGCCTTAGAGCAGAATGTGATGGAAAATAGAGGCAAACAGATAAGAGGATGAAGAGAGAGACCGTGTGCACTGATTCACGCCTGTAATCTCAGCACTTTGGAGGCTGAGGTGGGCAAACCACTTGAGGTCAGGAGTTCGAGACCACCCTGACCAACATGGAGAAACCCTGTCTCTACTAAAACTACAAATTTAGCCGGGCGTTGTGGTGCATGCCTGTAATCCCAGCTACTCGGAAGACAGAGGTAGTAGGAAAACTGTTCGAGCCCTAGAGGCGGAGTTTGTGGTGAGCCTAGATTTCGCCACTGCACTCCAGCCTGGGCAACAAGAGTGAAACTCCGTCTCAAACAAAACAAAACAAAACAAAACTGCATTTGCCCATTAGATGTTGGGGGAAAAAAAAAGTCTGGGCGAAGTGGCTCATGCCTGTAATCCCAGCGTTTTCAGAGGCTGAGGTGAGCGGATCACTTGAGAGAGAGTTCAAGACCTACCTGACCAAGAAACATGGAGAAATCCCGTCTTTACTAAAAATAGAAAAATGTGCTTGGTCTGATGGGGAATTCCTGTAATCCCAACTTCTCTGGAGACTGAGGTAGAGCAATCGCTTGAACCCGGGTCAAAAAAAAAAAAAAAAAAAAACAACAACAACAGTAAAGGAATAAAAAAATGGCTACACCATAGACAGAGGGGGCCTGAGGGCTGATGGCTGCACACTTTTTAATTAATTAATTACTTTTTTTTTTTTTTGAGACAGTCTCACTCCATCACCAGGCTGGAGTGCAGTGGCACGATATTGCCTCAAGCTTAAAAAAAAAAAAAGTTTCATTACTTTTAAAAAACACCACTTCAAAGTCTGGGAGACATGGCTCATGCCTGTAATCTCACCACTTTGGGAGGCCAAGGCAGACAGATCACCTGAGATGAGGAGTTCGAGACCAGCCTTGTCAACATGGTGAAACCCACCTCCATTAAAAATACAAAAAAAGTCTGCCAGGCGCAATGGTGCACGCCTGTAATCCCAGCAGTTTGGGAGGCCAAGGAGGGCGGATCACAAGGCTAAGAGATCGAGACCATCCTGGCCAACATGGTGAAACCCCATCTCTACTAAAAAATACAAACATTAGCTGGGCGTGGTGGCACATGCCTGTAGTCCCAGCTACTTGGGAGGCTGAGGCAGGAGAATTGCTTGAACCCGGGAGGCGGAGGTTGCAGTGAGCCAAGATCACACCACTGCACTCCAGCCTGGCAACAGAGCAATACACCATCTCAAAAACAAAAAAAAAAAGTACAAAAAAGTATGAGCCAGACGCAGTGGCACACGTTTGTAGTCTCAGCTACTCAGGAGGCTGAGGCTGCAAAATCCCATGAACCTGGGAGGCTGAGTTTGTGGTGAGCCAAGATAACTGCACTGCACTCCAGCCTGGGTGACAGAGCAAGCCTCCATCTTTAAAAAAAAATTTACTTCAGGAAACAGAAAATACATTTTACAACGTAAATTGAATAGACAAAAACAAAACCCTCATCTAAGTCAGAAAGAAAGAAAGTTATATTTGTTTGTAGATAACATGATCTTCTATGCAGAAAATCACAGAATGGGTGCAGTGACTCATGCATGTATCCCAGCACTTTGGGAGGCTGACGTGGGCGGATCACCTGAAGTCTGGAGTTTGAGACCAGCCTGGCCAACACGGTGAAATCCAGTCTCTACTAAAAATACAAAAAAAGTAGGTGGGCATGGTTGCAGCACCTATAATCTGATCTACTTGGGAGACTGAAGCAGGAGAATCACTTGAACCCGGGGCATGGAAATTGCAGTGAGCTACAATTGTGCCATTGCACTCCAGCCAGGAAAAGAAGAGGGAAACTCCATCTCAAAAAAAGAAAAAAAGAAAATCAAAAAGAATGAACAAAAAATACTATACTACTGGTACTAATAAACAAATTCAGTGTACTTGCGGCATAGAAAACTAGCACCAAAACTTTGTTAAATTCCCATATTTAACAATAATTTTAAAAAAATATGAAGAACACACTTCCATTTGCTAGACAACTTAAACACTTGGGAATCAACTTAAGAAAGTTAGAACCTTGTACCTTGAAATCTACAAACATTGATCAAAAAAACTAAGTGGAGATACAAGCATTTTAATGGATTGGAAGCATTAATATTGTTAAATGATTATAAAAACCAATGTGATTTAGATTCCACAAAATACCCATAAAAATCCCTATCTTTTTTTTTTTTAAGAAATAAGACTGGGTAAAGTGGCTCACATCTCTTCTCCAGGCTGGTCTCAAACTCCTGACCTCAAGTGATCTACCTACCTTGGCTTCCTAAACTGTGGAAATTACAGCTGCGAGTCACTATGCCCAGCCCAATCCTCTTAATATAAACACTTTAATATCAATTAATGCCTGAACTCAATGTTAAGTCAACTCAAACTCAAGTCAATGCTGCACTGACTCTAATGTCAATTAATGCTTGATGGTTTGCTAGACTCATTGAATTTGGAATAGTTATCTCAAAAATGGATTTTTTGATGTTCTGCAAGGAGTGACCTTGGACTGAAGAGCTCGCCACACTTAATCGAAATTTGTAATATTTCTGTCCAGTATGGATTCTCTGATGTCTAATAAGGCGTGAATGTGAAGTAAAAACTTTGACACGATTATCACACTTGTGATGTTTCTCTCCTGTATGAATTCTCCTATGTTTTGCATAAGATGAAGCTTAACTGAAGACCTTGACACAATCATATTTGTAAGGTTCCTCTCAAGTATAAATTCGCCAATGAACTGCAATGTATGAACAATGTCTGAAAAATCTGCCTCATTTATTACACTTGTGAGATCTCCTTCATTAGGGATTCTCCAGTGATCTGCAATGGTTGTAGAGGTACTGAAGGGTTTGTGACAACCATTACATTAGAAAAGTTTTCCTCTACCGTGGATTGTTTGATGGTGAAGTGTTCACTGTCCACTAAAGGCTCTGCCACACTCATTACACTTGTATGGTTACTCTTCACTGTGAACACAGTACGTAGTCCCAAGTATGAAGCACGCCCAAAAGTGTTGTCACAAACCTTACATTTGTATGGTTTCTCTCCAGAATGAATTCTGTATCTTTCATGTTATTTACAACTGAACCTTGTGTCACATTAAGGTTTCTCTCCAGTATGAAGTCTATGATGACGCGCAAGGTGTGCTTGTTGATTGAAAACCTTACCACATTCATTACTTTTGTCAGGGTTCTCTTCAGTATTAAGTCCATGATGATGTGCAAGGGATGATTTCTGACTAAAGGTCTTGACACATAAATTTCACTTGTAAGGTTTCTCTCCAGTATGAGAAAGCCTAATTATTCACTATTTAAGTGCCACATAAATTACACTTCTAAGGTTTCTCTCCAGTTTACAAAGAATGATGTCTGACTGAAGGTCTTGCCATACAGCTTACACTAGTAAGGCTTTTCTCCAGTATGAAGTCTACGATGGCGCAGAAGCAGGAACATCTGATTGAAGGTCTTGCCACACTCGTTACACTTGTAAGGTGTCATGCAAAGTATCACTTCTGTTTAAAGACTTTGCCACATACATCACATTTATGTTGTTTTTTTTTTTTTTTTTTGAGACAAAGTTTCACTCTTGTTACCGAGACTGGAGAGCAATGGCACGATCTCAGGTCACCACAACCTACTCTCCTGCCTTAGGCTCCCGAATAGCTGGGACTACAGGCGCACACCACCATGCCCAGCTAATTTTTGTATTTTTAGGAGAGACGGGGTTTCACCTTCTTGACTAGGATGGTCTCGATCTCTTGACCCCGTGATCCACCCGCCTCAGCCTCCCAAAGTGCTGGGATTATAGGCGTGAGCCACCGTGCCCAGCCTGTTGTTTCTTTCCTGAATGAATTATCTGATGTTCCCTTAAGAGTGAGCTATAATTAAAGGCTTTACCACTCTCATTATATTGGAAAGATTTTTCTCTCCTTTGTACTTTGTGTGTGAGTAATGAAAAATGAAGGAAGTTATTCCCATAGTTATTAGAAATATGGGTTTTGGGCCTACAATAAATTCTTTGGGATGTTGAAACAAAGAAAGCATCATTAATAGAATTCTCTACTTGATTACCAAATTAAATTTTCCTGTGTCTTTCAAGGTGTTATTTGCGACTGAAAGCTTTATCACATCTTCACATTTGTAATGCTTCTCTCCAGTATGAAGCCTATCATGGCGTGCAAGGCTAAATTTTTTATTAAAAACCTTGCCACATTCATTACACTTGCAAGGGTTCTCTCCAGTATGAAGTCTATGATCAACTGAAAGGCTTGGCTGGTCATTAAAAACCTTGCCAAATTCATTACACTTGTAAGGTTTCTCTCCAGTATGAATTGCCTTCTGAATCACAATGGATGAACTGTAACGGAAGGTCTTGCCACACTTATTTTGCAAACTTTATCTTCAGTATGAGTTTGCCAACGTACTGCAAGGTATAAACGAGGTGTGATTTGGGCCTGAAAACTGTCCCATTCTTCACATTTGTAAGGTTTATTTTAAGTATGAAGTCTATGATGACATGCAAGGTTTGATTTTTGATTAAAAACCTTGCCACATTCATTAGACTTGTAAGGGTTCCCTGCAGTATGCATTGCCTTATGAACTGAAAGACCTGAATTTTGACTAAAGGTCTTGCTACACTAATTACACTTGTAAGGTTTTCCCCCAGTGTGAATTCTAGTATGCTTTTTCAAGTATGAATTACACGCAAAAGCCTTGTCACAAATCTTACATTTGTATGGTTTCTCTCCAGTATGAATTCTCCTGTGTGTTTCAAGGTGTGATTTGCGAGTGAAAACTTTGTCACATTTTTCACATTTGTAAGGTTTCTCTCCAGTATGAACTCTCCTATGTGTTAGAAGATATGATTTGCGACTGAAAACTTTGTCACATTCTTCACATTTGTAAGGTTTCTCTCCAGTATGAAGTCTATGATGACGTGCAAGCGTTGCTTGTTGATTAAAAACTTTGCCACACTCATTACACTTGTAAGGTTTCTCTCCAGTATGAAGTCTATGATGACGTGCAAGGCTTGACTGTTGTTTAAAAACCTTGCCACATGCATTACACTTGTAAGGTTCCTCCCCAGTATGAATTGCCTTATGAATTACAAGGGCTGAACTGTGACCGACGATCTTGCCACACACATTACACTTGTGAGGTTTCCCTCCAGTATGAATTGCCTTATGAAGTACAAAAGCTGAATTGTGATGGAAGGTCTTGCCACACTCATTACACTTGTAAGGTTTCTCTCCAGTATGAAGTCTACGATGGCATAAAAGGGATGACGTGTGACTGAAGGTCTTTCCACACTCATTACACTTATAAGGTTTCTCTCCAGTATGAATTCGGCAATGAACTGCAAGGTATGAACGACGTCTAAAACATTTGTCACATTTATTACACTTGTAAGATCTCTCTTCATTATGGATTCGCCAATGGTTTGCAATGGTTGTAGCGTTACTGAAGACTTTGTGACAATCATTACATTTGTAAAGTTTCCCTATACCGTGGATTGCTTGATGGTGAATAAGTGTTGACTGTGCACTAAAGGCTTTGCCACACTCATTACACTTGTAAGGTTTCTCTCCAGTGTGAATTCTAGTATGTTGTGCCAGGTGTGAATCACGCCTGAAAGCCTTGTCACAAACCTTACATTTGTACGGTTTCTCTCCGGTATGAAGTCTACGATGGCATAGAAGGGATGATGTCTGACTGAAGGTCTTGCCACACTCATTACACCTGTAAGGTTTCTCTCCTGTATGAAGTCTATGATGGCACGTAAGGGATGACATCTGACTGAAGGTCTTGCCACACTCGTTACACTTGTAAGGTTTCTCTCCAGTATGAAGTCTATGATGACGTGCAAGGCTTGACTGTTGTTTAAAAACTTTGCCACATTCATTACACTTGTAAGGTTTCTCTTCAGTATGAATTGCCTTATGAATTACAAGGGCTGAATTTCGACCAAAGGTCTTGCCACACTCATTGCACTTGTAAGGTTTCTCTCCAGTGTGAATTCTAGTATGTTGTGCCAGGTGTGAATAACACCCAAAAGCCTTGTCACAAACTTTACACTTGTAAGGTTTCTCTCCAGTATGAAGTCTATGATGACTTGCAAGGTTTGATTGTTGATTAAAAACCTTGCCACACTCATTACACTTGTAGGGTTTCTCTCCAGTATGAATTGCCTTATGAATCACAAGGGCTGAATTTTGACGGAAGGTCTTGCCACACAAATTACACTTGTAAGGTTTCTCTCCAGTATGAAGTCTACGATGGCAGGTAAGTGATGACATCTGAATGAAGGACTTGCCACACTCTTTACACCTGAAAGGTTTCTCACCAGTGTGACATCTACGATGGCGTTCAAGGTATCGCTTCTGATTAAAGGCCTTTCCACATACATCACATTCATATTGTTTCTCTTCTAAATGGATTGTCTGATGTTTCCTTAAGAGTGAGCTACAATGAAGGGCTTTGCCATTCTCATTACACTGGAAAGATTTTTCTCTAATGTGACCTTCCTGTTTTTGTGTGGGTAATGAAGAATGGAGAAAATTATTGTCATAGTTATTAAAAATATAAGTTTGGGGCCTACAAAAATGTCTTCGGGATGTTGAAACCAAAGCAGCATTGTTGATTGACTTCTCAACTTGATCATCGATGTCCCCTTCAGTCTCAAATATGTGCAGTTCAGGCAGATGCGAATGAAAGCTCAATCCAAGCTGATCTTTAATAGGCTCGTTGCCGGCACACCCGTCATCATATCGGTCTTTACTATCAGTGAACTTCTTGATCGGTGTCATGGGTGCTTCATGGCCATTCCTTTCATCTTTCTGCCACTGGAACTCAAAGTCATGAATATCTTTCTCAATTTCCTGGAAGCAAAAATCTCTAGTGTGATGACTTTCATGTGTTTCCCATGTCCCTGTGTGGAACACTTCTGTATTACCTTGTCCTGTTGATGAGACCATCTTCATCATGCATTTGGAAGAGATATCTACAAAATATAAACATAAATAGGTTTCCAATTCAGTACAGAGGGTAAATAATACTGAAATGTGTACTGGCCGGGTGCAGTGGCTCAAGCCTGTAATCCCAGCACTTTGGGAGGCCAAGGTGGGTGGATCACCAAGGTCAAGAGATTGAGACCATCCTGGTCAACATGGTGAAACCCTGTCTCTACTAAAAATACAAAAAAATAGGCTGGGCATGGTGGCACGTGCCTGTAATCCCAGCTACTCAGGAGGCTGAGGCAGAAGAATTGCCTGAATCCATGAGGTGGAGGTAGTGGTGAGCCAAGATTGCGCCATTGCACTCTGGCCTGGGTAACAAGAGCGAAACTCCGTCTCAAAAAAAAAAAGAAATACTGAAATGTGTAAATATGATACAAAAAACAATATTTATTTATTTATTTTGAGACAGAGTTTTGCCTGGGTTCAGGCAATTCTCCTGCCTCAGCCTCCCAAGTAGCTGGGACTACAGGCGCGCGCCACCATGCCCAGCTAATTTTTTTTGTTTTTAGTAGAGACGGAGTTTCACCATGTTGATGAGGATGGTCTCGATCTCTTGACCTCATGATCCACCCGCCTCAGCCTCCCAAAGTGCTGAAATTACAGGCATGAGCCACCACGCCCGGCCCAGCAATATTTATTTTAAACTTCCCAGGCATGATCTTAAAGTTTAGAAACACAAAAGTGAGATTCTTTAATAAATAAAGGACGATTATATGGACTTTAAATCATTTCTGTGAAAGCCTCTTTCCAATATCATGACAAAATACTGACAGTATTTTTACTATATACCAATAAATGCTAAAGGACCATATAATAAACTATGTTGGTAAATAATCCACAACAAGCTCATGTAAAAATAACCAAAATCAATGGAAATTCTGTATTGTCACACAATCAAAGCACTCTGTAGATAAGAAAAGATTACAAAAATTCTGTGCTATCCTACAGAATTTCAGGAGAAAAGAAAAAAAAAATGGATTACAAAAATTAGCCAGGCGTGGTGGCCCATGCCTTTAGTTCCAGCTACTCAAGAGCCAGAGGCACAGGATCACTTTAACATGGGAGGCAGAGGTTGCAATAAGCCAAGATCCCACCACTGCACTCCAGCCCAGGTGACAAAGTGAGATTCCTTCTAAAAAAAAAAATAGAAAATGTTAATACAATATTTTTCTGAATACATGCCATGCAGGTCTGGCACTGTGACTTTTTTTTTCTTTTTTTTTTTTTAATTTGGGATGGAGTCTTGCTCTCATTGTCCAGGCTGGAATGCAATGATGCAATCTTGGCTCACTGCAACCTCTGGGTTCAAGATATTCTCCTGCCTCAGCCTCCTGAGTAGGTGGGATTACTGGCATGTGCCACCACACCCAGCCAATGTTTGTATTTTTAGTAGAGACTGGGTTTCTCTATGGTGGTCAGGTTGGTCTCAAACTCTTGACCTCAGGTGATCCGCCCACCTCGGCCTCCCACAGTTCTGGGATTACAGGTGTGAGCAACTGTGCCTAGCCCTGCATTATTAAAAATTTTTTTTGTAATTTTTTGTTGTTGTTTGAAACAGAGTGATGATCTCTCACCCAGGCTGGAGTGCTATGGGGCACAATCTCGGCTCCCCACAACCTCCGCCTCCTGGGTTCAAGTGATTCCTCCTGCCTGGACCTCTTAAGTAGCTGCAATTACAGGCACATGCCTTCATGCTTGACAAATTTTAGTAGAGATGGGGTATTTTTAGTAGAGATGGTGTTTCACCGTGTTGGCCAAGCTGGTCTTGAATTCCTGACCTCGAGCGATCCACCTGCCTCAACCTCCCCAAATCCTAAAATTATTGGTGTGAGCTACCACGCCTGGTGGCACATTCCGACATTAACGAGTGGAGTGTGTCAGCTGTATTGCATACCACATAACAAAAATATTGTAACCCATAATTTTTATTATTTTATGTAAAATCATACATATTAGTAAAATACTATAAGGCCAGGAAGCAAATAAGTACATTTATACAGCCTGCAGAATTCTAAGCAATTCCCAGTCTAGAAAAACGGCACAACTGCTACTTACCACCAGCACGCAATGTAAGAACTGAAACACATGTTAAGATCACTACCTTCTGATGTGTGAGGTCAAGAAAACACACAGCAAGATAAGAAATAAGAAGTGACTAACAGTCATGTGCAGTGGCTCACGCCTGTAATCCCAGAACTTTGGGAGGCTGAGGCGGGTGGATCATGAGGTAAAGAGATCGAGACCATCCTGGTCAACATGGTGAAACCCTGTCTTTACTAAAAATACAAAAAATTAGCTGGGCATGGTGGCGTGTGCCTGTAGTCCCAGCTACTCAGGAGGCTGAGGCCGGAGGATTGCCTGAACCCAGGAGGTGGAGGTTGCGGTGAGCCGAGATCACGCCATTGCACTCCAGCCTGGGTAACAAGAGCGAAACTCCGTCTCAAAAAAGAAAAAAGAAAATACAAAGCATTAGAAGGAATAAGAAGTGACTAACAGTCACGCGCAGTGGCTCACGCCTGTAATCCCAGCACTTTGGGAGGCTGAGGTGGGTGGATCATGAGGTCAGGAGTTTGAGACCAGCCTGGACAATATGGTGAAACTCTGTATTTACTAAAAATAGAAAAAAAAACTTGGCTGGGCATGGTGGCAGGTGCCTGTGATCTCAGCTACTTGGGAGCCTGAGGCAGGAGAACCATTTGAACCCAGCAGGCGGAGGTGGCAGTGAGGCAAGATCACATTCTTGCACTCCAGCCTGGGTAACAGGGTGAGATTACATCTCAGAAAAGAAAACAAACTGACTAGCAGTGTTGGAGATTGCAATTATGACGTCACCGCTCCAGTGACGTCACAGCCGGGCAGTTCAGCAATTCTATACATACACATGGCCTTAGATTATCTGGTTCACTATGCATAACATAAAATACAGAATGTGGCCGGGCGCGGTGGCTCAAGCCTGTAATCCCAGCACTTTGGGAGGCCGAGGCGGGTGGATCACGAGGTCAACAGATCGAGACCATCTTGGTCAACATGGTGAAACCCCGTCTCTACTAAAATTACAAAAAAATGAGCTGGGCACGGTGGCACGTGCCTGTAATCCCAGCTGCTCGGGAGGCTGAGGCAGGAGAATTGCCTGAACCCAGGAGGCGGAGATTGCGGTGAGCCGAGATCGCGCCATTGCACTCCAGCTCTGGGTAACAAGAGCGAAACTCCGTCTCAAAAAAAAAAAAAAAAAACAAAAAAAACACAGAATGTGTACTGGGAAAATTTATAAACTGAGATCAGAGAAAACACTGTATAAAACAAACTGCACAATAAAAACACAAAAATCCTAATGCAGCCTCCCTGGGCTGAATGTTGGTATTGACCAAAAGCCATGTTGAGATTTCCTGTTCTCCAACAGGATGTCCCTGCAGGTGGGGCCTCTGAGAGAACTTGGTCATGGGTGTTGGCTACTCGGGATAGGTCTAGCGCTTCCATTTTCATTTCTTCTTCTTCTTTTTTTTTGAGAGGGCTTTGCTCTGGAACCAGTTTGGCTTCACCTTGCTCTTGAATCTCCCACTTTCCAGATTCATAATAAAATAAATTTCTATCTTAAGCTTCCTAGTTAAAGCTCTTTCTTTCTTTCTTCGTTTTTCAGACTGCGTTATGTTCTATCACCCAGGCTGGGGTGTAATGGCATGATTCTCCTTTCTAAAGAGATGTTCCAGGATCAGCCTCCTGAGTACCTGGGACTACAGCCTGGCTAATTTTTTAAAAAAATCTTTCTGTGTTTGTTTGGGTATGAGACAGAGTCTCACTCTATCACCCAGGCTGGAGTGTAATGGCATGATTCTCCTTTCTAAAGAGATGTTCCAGGATCAGCCTCCTGAGTACCTGGGACTACAGCCTGGCTAATTTTTTAAAAAAATCTTTCTGTGTTTGTTTGGGTATGAGACAGAGTCTCACTCTGTCACCCAGGCTGGGGTGTAATGGCATGATTCTCCTTTCTAAAGAGATGTTCCAGGATCAGCCTCCTGAGTACCTGGGACTACAGCCTGGCTAATTTTTTAAAAAAATCTTTCTGTGTTTGTTTGGGTATGAGACAGAGTCTCACTCTGTCACCTAGGCTGGAGTGTAGTGGCATGATCTTGGCTCACTGCAACCTCAGCCTGCCAGGATCAAGTGATTCTTTGCCTCCCAAGTGGCTGGGTTACAGGTTCTCACTACCATGCCCAGCTATTTTTTATATTTTTATTAAAGATGGGGTTTCACCATGTTGGCCAGGCTGGTCTTCCAACTCCCAACCTCAGGTTATCTGCCCACCTCGGTCTCCCAAAGAGCTGCAACTACAGGTGTGAACCACTGCACCTGGCAAATCTTGCAGCTTTTACATGCTGTATGGGCAGCAGAAAAGGTAGCCATTATGTGCTGCAAAGAACACCAAGCAGATGGGTCCTATGAGTCTAGGGGGAACAGGAAAGCAGACAGAGAGGCTAGGCAAGCCGCTACAGTAATTACATCATCAGAGGGCAGGCTTTCGCAATGCTGCTTCTTCCAGAACCTCTACCTATGGAAAAAGCTAGTTACTCCCCTAGTGAAAAGGCCCTGTTCACTCAAGAGGCCAGGAATTACATCAAAAGTGAGTGGTGGTAGTTCTCACATGGGAGGCTGGCCATTCACAACATAATGACCCCTAAGTTTATGAAGCAGTTCCATAAAGGAACACATATGAGGAAGACAGCTTTAGAAGCCCTAATAGGGTGCCATTTTTCCATGCCATGTCTCAGTGCCATCACCAGTGCTATTTGTGCAACATGCTTAACCTGTGCCCAAAACAATCCGAGGCAGGGGCCAGTTTGGCCCCCAGAAATTCAAGGAATAGGAGCAATCCCATGTGAAACCCCATCTGTGGATTTTACCGAATTGCCCCAAGCAGAAGGCTATCAGTATATGTTAGTATTTGTGTGGACTTACTCTGGTTGGGTCGAGGCATTCCCCACTTAAA